TGCGCACCTTCCCAAAACCACTGAGAGTCTGTGGTTGTCTGTGCCAGCATCTTTTTTATTGTCATTGCCTCGGTTTAGACATGAGATGTTTTGTTTTTGTTTTTTTTTAAATGGTTTTCAAAGGAAGTGTTACAGCCAGGTCTAACCACGGAGACCAGCTGGGTGTCGCTCTTTAGGCTGATCAGTTGCTTCCTGTTCCTCTCTCCTCGTTCTTTTATTTTTCCTAGAGTGAGTGTTGGGCGTTCAGAGGCGTTTGGGTGATCTGCTCAGCATGGATGCTACCCCTCAGGCATGATTTGGGTGTGTGTATTGTCCAATGGCATTTCAAAAAAAAAAGTGGATTGCTTTCCCTTAACTTACATGTTAAGAGGCAAAATTAGATTTTTTTTTTCCTTAATTGAAGAGAATTGCAATGCATCTCATCTGTGACTAGGTGCCAAAAAGCCTGGGTGTGACGCTAATAAATGTGGATTTGGGAGCTGATAGGAGTTTGGAACCCTTAATGCATTTGGAGTGGGGAAGACTGGAGAATGGAAAATGGACCGCAGCCTCGGCCGACTGACTCCTTGCCCTGCTAGAGGTTTCGAAAACGTCGACTATTTGCAAATCTCGGAAGGAAAGGTTTAAAAGATACAAGGGTTGGTAGCCCAAAGCTTATAAGGCTGCAGCGAATATGTGGCGGAATTCGTAAATGTCCTGCTTCGTATAGTAACCCCATGGATCCCCTGTCGATAAACTCCCAGGGGTGCGGATTGTAAAGAGGAAGGTAGGATTAGGGTGTTTCCTGGAGCATCTGAAGATTTGGAAAATGGGGGGGGGGAGGATGGTTTGTATGTTTTTAAGCCCTACTGGTTTCTGCCTCCTTTTTCCTTTTAAGAGTTTGCGTTCTGAGTCTGGAATGGGGAGGAGGTAGCATGCAACCAGAACGGTGGGCCAATCTATTTTGCTGTTCCTTCGTGGCAGCTGATTGCTATAAAGTGAGATGGGTCTCATACAGCCACTCCCCCAATGTTGCTGGATTTTATATCCTGTCTCCATCCTGCAGAGGAGAAGAAATTCTGCTCCGTTGTCAAGATTGTTAACTCCTCCACATTTTCTCATCTCCAGTCTGAGAACAGGAGGCGTTCTCTTTATCTGTCCTTCGTGTTTGTGCCGTGTTAAAAAAAAAAACAACCACCACTGCCCATAGGAAGCGCAGATGGACTGGCTTGCTGAATGAAAAGGTATGAGCAACCCATTCGGGGCTTCTAAGGTTTAAAAACCAGCAGAGAACACCTGACAGAAAAGGAGGCCGAGATCTTTCTCCCATTCGTGGGAGAAAAACAGGATCTAAATTGTATAAAATGGTGATTGATTGATTTTTAACGAGCTGTAGGATGGAGCCGTTGCATCTCAGAGCATGGGAGAGATGACCTTCCTGGGTCTATGTTTTGCTTTCAGCTGACCCAAATGCTGCTCCTTCCTGGCGGGCGGCCTCCTTGGCCACGCAGCCCGTTGGGTTCCCCTTTAATTAGAGAGCTCTATGTGCCTCTGAGCCGCTGCCAGGCCAGCTGTGTTGCGGTTCAGCCTCTGCCCAAGGAGCATGGCATCGGAGGTGTCCAATTAGCGGGAGGCCACTTTCCTGCCTTGGCATGATCTCATCCTTCGGATGAGGCTGCGCTTGGGTTCCCGGAGAGGGCGGAGGGGAGGACTTGCCTGGGCAACATGGAGGGGGGGGGACCCAGGGGCTGAGTCCTGCTTGTGTCCTGTTTGCCAGGTACGTGGGGAGCCCCCCTCGAGGCCCTCTGGACTAGTAACCGGTCGAAGGTCTGGGACTGTCTGTTTGCAGCTTGAAAGAGCACATGTTTTTTCCCCCAACGTACAGTAGTTGGAATGTTATTTGCTTAATTCCTTTGGACCACGTCTCCCAAAATCCTTGAGTCAGCGCTGGGTTTTGTGTGCGCCCTTTGGACGGAGGTGTGCTGCTTTACAAAGGGAAGCGAGACCAATCCTGCAACGCCTTCCAGGTTTAGAGCCTTTTAATCATAATTGTGTCCTGTCAAGTCCATTCTGGTTTAGGGCGTCCGTCTCTGGGATTTTCTAGGTAGAGAGGACTCAGAAGAGGTTTCCCCTTCCCTTCTTCTGGGGGGGGGATCCCTGGGATGGTGCAGCTGGCCTAAGGCCACCCAGGTTGGGTCTTCTCCTGGCACGCCTGGGGAAGGGGGGAATCAAACTCCCAACCTCTGGCTCCATAGCCAAAGATCTAACTCACTCAGCTATTCAGCTGGCTTACAGCCTTTTATCTCTTGCAGGGTGGGGGGGGGGAGAAGTTTTTATCAAGTTTTTAATTACAGGTGAGTTGCCCCACCCTTTGGGTATTCCTCCAAGTAAGTAACAGGCTGCCTTTATAACTTCCTGGTCACCCTGCCTGCGCCTGGTTTGTTTTAAAGGTGTATAGATGTGTGGGTTTTTTTGCCCTGCAGCAACCAGAATCCGTAGTCACAAGTCCCAAAACATAAATTACCGTCGTGTGTCTCTAGTTTGCTTACAGGCTTGGCTTCATTTTAACTGTGTGTGCATCTGTCTGTGTATTGATTAATGCAGCTTCCGGATTACTGTCTTTGCTTCTTGACCCCGGGGTTTCCTCTGTTAACGCCTCTGCTGTCTTGTTTATTTCACTTCCATGTAGCTGTTATTAGCTTGTTGCAGCAAAGCGAGTTCAGAGTTTTGCAGCCCGTCAGAGGCTGGTTTCCTTCTGCGATTTGTGCGCATTGCGACCCAGATAAATGATCTGGTACATAGGGCTCCCACCTGCGAAAAAGCTCCTAAGAAGCCCAGTAGGGCCAGTGGGTCAGGGAGAGATTCCAGACCTGGGAGTTCGCATGCTGGTCGGATACAGCCGGCAGGCAGTGAGCACTCCACACTGCATTTTGTTCATACTTGGCTGATGTGTGGCTTGTAAAGGAAGTACGTAGACTTTCATGTCTCTGCAATAAAAACTAGTTAACCAGGCAAATGTGAAAACTTGGAGATCCGTAATATTCTTGTACTGTCTTTCATCTTCCTCGGTTGCACTTGCGATGCTGAAGGATCCATGTGCCAGGTTTCTCTGTTGCTTTCACCTTGTACCTTCCTTTTTCTAAACTAGACTACTGTACTTTTCAGAACATTCTCTCTCTCTCTCTCGGTGTGTGTTTGTGTGCATTAACACAAGGTCTGATTCACGCGCTACCAATTTTTTCCATGCCAAACGAAATCCTGGACTTAACGGCTGCCACTGCAGCTGGCCGAGTTTCTGCGAGATTGCTTCACTCCAGGAAATGTTTTAAAACCTTCTTCGAAAGCTGGTTCCCACCCTTTCATATACTTTTTAAAAAACTTTTTTTTGGTGTTTTTTCCCCCCTTCTGTTTCCCTGAGCACCACACACACACACCCCTACCCCTCTCAATCTGGCGCAGTTGCCATACAGAAGGTTGCTTGTGTAGCAAACTGAACGCAGAGCCGCTGGTTGTGTTTCTGTGTGTGTGTGTTTGTGTGTGTCAGTCGGTCTGTGTGGAAAGCTCTCTCCAGGAGAGCTGCTGCAAATCTCGTTTGGGGGTGAAGGGCAGTGCCGAAGAACCCAATCAACGGTGCAGCAAAGTTCTTGATTCCTGTAGAGCCGTTTGTTTCTGAACTTTGGAGAAAAATCTCAGCCTCTCTGGCAAGGATGTGGAGACTTCAGGAGAAACAAAGTGGGTGTGTGAGTTGTTTGCTTAATTTTCTTCCTGTCCTCATTTCTTGCTCTGATGCCACTGTCTTTCTAAAAATGGTTTCATTTTTGCCAGGCATGGGTGGAATGTGAAATTACCCATGGCTAGATGAACTCTTATTTCCCTACGGAGGGCAGAAAGATTGAAATAACTCTGTTATGGAAGGGATTCCCAGCCACCCAACCCAAACTTGGGAAAAAAGACCCTGTGCTCCTTAAGGGTGGTTCGGTGGAGTCCTTTGAACCCGTGTTCCTGCTGTGCTGTTGTCTTAACTTTGGGTGGGGATGATGGGGGGGTAGATGGCCAACTGATAAAGAAAGGAACGTGCTCACATCTTGCAGCTTCCGGGGAGCATCTTGCAGCTTCCGGGGAGGGGGGAACAGAAGGATTTAAAGAGAGTTGCTTATTAAAACTGTTTGTCAAGTATGGAGGGTTCGCTAGTAATTCTGCCCAAGCATTTCTCTGCCTATAATACATCTTTTGACTTTATGACGGCGTCTCCCAGGTCGTAAGGTCCCCCTTCCGGGTGTTGCTAGATGGCAATGATGAACAATTTCATAAAATTACAGGACGGAGCATCCTTTCAGGTGGACGGCTCGTTGCCAGCAGAGAAGGCTCGCTGCTCGATTGCCGCCCGGCGAGACCCCGGGAGCTCCCCTTGCAATCTGCTCTGTCATTTAACGGAGCTGAATCTCGTCCCGCCCTAAAGATTCCCAATTTTTATTGCTTTAACTTTCCACGGACTGCGATCCGCATCGTAGAATCGCAGGCCTGTGGCGTGGGGAAATGATCTGGGAGGTCATCTAGCCCAGCCCTCTAACGAAGCCGGAGTTCCACCGCTGAAGCGTCTCGTACGGCCAGCCGTTCATCAGATGAAAAACAAAAGGAGAAGCCGCTGGCGTCGGTTCCTGATTTGGCCGCACTCCCTACCTCCTTGTCCCGAAAGGCATTCCACTTGGGTCTGGATTCCAACCCACACAGCCTTTTTCAGGATCTAGAACCTTCTTTGCCGAGAACTCCGCTCAAGGGGCCGACTTAGAACAGAGCGAACCTTCTAAGCTCAACGGTGCCGGTGTTTTGTTTTGCTTTCTGTTGGCGAGAGCTTTAGTTTTGGACTTTGGAGTGGGGGTGTGTGTGTCTCTTCGCTTCGTCCACCCCACTCCGCTCGGGGTGAAACAAATGGGTTCTGTGCAAGGCCTCTACGTATGGGGTGTGTGTGTGTGGTTTTTAATGTTTAACTTTTCCTTCATGTTTTTCTTTCCACCCATTAGGCAACCGTGACCAGCATCCTCTCCGCAGGGTTTCATAGCAACCCCTTCCTCCTCCTCTCAAAGCTTGAATGAGAACCTCTGGCCGTCGGGGAGGGGGCCGTTGAAGCGTTTGCCCCGTGGGGAGATTATCCATCGGGCGACGGGGGTCAGGATGGGGCAAAAGGTGACGGGCGGCATCAAGACGGTAGATATGAGGGATCCGGCCTACAGGCCGTTGAAGCACGAACTCCAGGGGTTGGACTACTTCAAACCGGCCCGCTTGGACCTCCTCCTGGACATGCCAGCGGTCTCCTACGAGACCCAGCTGATGCACTCCTGGAACAATGACGACCGCTCGCTCAACGTCTTCGTCAAAGAGGACGACCGGCTCATCTTTCACCGGCATCCGGTGGCCCAGAGCACGGACGCCATCCGTGGAAAAGTCGGCTACACCCGCGGCTTGCACGTCTGGCAGATCACGTGGGCCATGAGGCAGAGGGGCACGCACGCCGTGGTGGGCGTGGCCACGGCCGAGGCCCCCTTGCACTCTGTGGGCTACACCACCCTGGTCGGTAACAACCACGAATCGTGGGGGTGGGACCTCGGGCGCAACCGGCTGTACCACGATGGCAAGAACCAGCCCAGTAAGACATACCCGGCCTTCTTGGAGCCGGACGAAACGTTCATCGTGCCGGACTCGTTCTTGGTGGTGTTGGACATGGACGATGGGACGTTGAGTTTCATTGTGGACGGGCAGTACATGGGAGTTGCTTTCCGTGGACTCAAAGGGAAGAAACTCTACCCGGTCGTGAGTGCTGTCTGGGGCCACTGTGAAATTAAGATGCGCTACTTGAACGGGCTTGACCGTAAGTATCCGAAGTTGGGTGATGTTTTTTTTTTTCTGGGATGGCTTGGGAAGGCAGAACTGGTGTTTCTTGAAACTTTGGGGGATGACCAAACTGCATTTGGGTTGGAGTTGTTGTTTTTTTCACCTAAAACACCCAAGTCCGCCAACCAAAGAGAGGTGCAAGGGAATGAATGAAACCGGACCGGCTTTGCTATGAGACAGCTTGAGGCGACGGCCACATGGACTGAGAAGCTTTCATCTCCTGCACGTCACTTGCGGCTATTCCAGTAAGCCTGGGTGTACCTTCTGCTCACCTTTGTTGAAAATGGGGCGTAGGAAGAGGCAAGACGTTTTATAGACGCAAGAGAGGGAGAATGGCAGTCAATTTCTTGCAATACTTTATATAATTAACAACCTGGATTTGGGTGCAAGCTTTTGAGGAGTGCATCACGCTTTTACCTGGACTTAACCAGGATATATTTAATGCTGGGTTAACCAGCATTTTGATCACGGATTGATATTCTCCTTTGGGGTCTAATTCAAACCCCTGTTTCTTGCGCCTTGATAAATTTTCTTCTTTCCGAGACTTCATTCATTCATTCCTCTTCCGCCTGCTTTCTGTATTTCTCATCTTTCCCCGTTCTTAAATTATTTTTCCCCGTTTATGTATTTAAAAATATATTTCTCGGGGTATGGAGGCTGAAACCTCCCCCCCACCGAGCTGCAGAATTTGCTCTGTAACTCATGAGACCTTGCAAGCTCGGTGTGCGAGCAAAAATAGGAAAGAGAGAAAGATGTATCCTTCCTCGTTAAAAGAACGAGAGAATATAAATGAGGTCAAGAAATAAATTAGCCTTCCTGGCGTGGGGGGGGGAAGTGAACTGAGCTTCCACCTGGAATATGGAAGGGAAATCAGACCCAAAAAGACCTCACTGTCAGTGCCTTGATGGGGCAGCCGCCCGGAGGTCTTTCCACCTTATCTCCTTCCTGAAGGCTAAACTCCTGCCCATGATAAGAGAGTGAATATGGGATTTGTTTATGCCGAGTCATAGCATGCAGGTATGACTCAGTAAAATATACAGTATATATCTTCCTCTGATCTCCAGTGCCTTTGGCCGTCTGCCTAAATTCTCTCCCCACCCCCATGCAGGACTGGCTTGTCCCTGGCAAGGATGGCCCTCCAGATGTTTTTAAACTGCAGCACCCACCGTTTTTAACCTGCCTAGCCAAGGGATGATGGGGATTGTAGTCCTGCAGCGTGCAGGAAGGCTGACCTCTTGGTCTCTGTTTTCAGAATGGTTTGAAAAGCAAATGCTAAGAGCTGCTGTTTGTTATTTCATATTATTTTTAATTTTCCCCTAGCAGATGTGAAAATCCCCTTGGGCCTCATCCACAATTTTTACGTATTAAGAATTCTGCCTCCCTTCCCGCAGTTGGTTTTTTTCCCTCCCAAGCTGGCCACCCGTTGCCTCCCTGGAAACGTTGGTCTAGGGAGGAAGCGCAACGAGGGTGAAGTCAGTTGGATGGAGGCTTTGCCCAGCGAAGGGGGGAGTTTTTATGACCCGTGTCCCTGACGTCAGTCGGCTGCAGGTGTCCTGCCTGCTGAGTCCTGAGCAACGTCTTCCAGGAAAACTAGTCAACAGGATGAGGTCTGCCCATGAACGAGGGATCTCCAAAATCTCTTGGCCTCGACGGCCCTGCTCAGCTCTTGCAAACTCAACCTGTGGCTTCCTTTAGGAAATAGTCCATCTCGTATTGGGTCTTCCTCTTTTCCTGCTGCCTTCCCCTTTTCCCACCATTATTGTCTTCTCCAGAGAGTCTTGCCATCTAAGACTAAAATACAAGCATAACTGTGACTTACCTTATTTAGTATATTTGTACCCTGCTTTTTCAACATATGTGTCTCTCCTCCATGTACAAATTTCTATGGTCATCAGTGAATTTTTTCATCCAGGGTGGTTTTGAACCCAGGTCTCCTGATTCCCGTTCTGAAGCTCTGATCACTAGCCTTCACTGTCTGTCCAGTTTATTGTTGCAAGATCTACTAAAAAATGGTCTTTTGTTTGGGAGCGATTTTGCTGGGCCTATTTATAAGAAGTATAAATCAGCAGGAGACCATCAAAACAAGAGGCAGCCATGGGAAAAATGCAGAATATATAATCTATATATTATGTATACTTTACTTTTTTATCTTTAACATGGTTCAGAAATCAGATTTCAGTTTCTTAAATACAAATATTTGCTCTTATGTAGTGCTTCACACATTTGCATGTTTCATATGAAGTGCTAGCTTTTAAGTTACACAGAGTTCCTTGGCAAAATCACACAACAGTAAAGCCAAAGCACTAGAAGACATGGGTGCTTTTTACAGCTGATGCCTGAACCTCCAGAGCTCACTATTATGGAAAACAAAATAGCAAGTTGGCTCGAATGTAGAGGGTGTTTTGCTGTGCAGCGGGGTACACATTTCAGAGGTGGTTGTGACGTGTCCTTGACCGACCACAGCTCTGCCTCCGGGGAACTCTGTGCTGCTTTAAACGAATATGGATACGTTGGGAGATCTGGGTTTCTAAGTACCCTTGTGGTATGGAATTAAATTTGATCTTTTTGGGGGGGGGTTGCCAACTGTACCCATGTTACTCAGGCTTTTTTCTATAAATCTGTGATTTGGCTGTTTGCTCTTTAAAATTTCACATGGAGCAGGGAACTGTGATTTCCGTGCTGGGGTTAAGGTGTTCTCTTTTTCTCGCTCACTCACGGTGTCTTCCCATGTTGTCACTTTCTAGCGGAACCTCTGCCTTTAATGGACCTCTGCCGCCGATCCGTGCGCCTGGCTCTGGGCAAAGCTCGGCTGAATGAGATTCCTGCCCTGCCACTGCCTGAATCTCTCAAGAACTACCTTCTCTACCAATGATCTCTGCTTTGGGGAGGGACCCCACCCACCCTCCAAAAAACCTTCCCCCCCACACAGACACAAACTCTCAGAACCAACGCCGGCATGAATTTCCAGGCCAGGGCATCTCTGGGTGACCATTTGACCATTTTCTATGCATACATCCACCCCCTTCCCCCCCACCTGCCCTTTTCCGAATGTGCCGGTTTTGCATCCGAACAGCCCAACTGTTGATCTGTTCCTTGTTGCTGCATCGGAAGAAGAAACAGCCTTGGAAAGAAACCGGGTTTCTGCTCCACCGTGTTCAATGCTCCACAGATTGCTCTTGAGATGAAAAACCCAGACCCTTTTGAGTCATTTGCTAGACTCGAACCCCCCCTGGAAAAGGTCATGGAATCGCCCCTGGGTTTTGGACATCGTAACCCAGCTTGCTGTTTTGTTTGCCGTAGAGAGATGTTCAGATGACGTAGAAAAGAAGGGCATCGGGAAGGACAGGTGTCGGCGTACAGAATTCCAGGGGTGAAATAGCTCAGCAGAATCCCAACGATTCCCCAAAAATAAATGTCCCTCCTGTCACCCGGCAGGTCAGTGGGAAAGACCACAGACCCCAACAAGATTACTCCATAGGGACTAGCCTCTTGAATAATAAGCAGCCGTTACAGATGTCAAAGGAGCATCCAGATTCTATGATGTCCTTTCGTGTGTATTTTTGGTGTTTGTCCCACATACCATTTGCTCCAGCCTGGAGGTGTGAGGGACCTGTGATGCTCTGGCACTCAGAATCACTCGTTTGTTTGTTTTTTTCTGGTCATTCACTTGAACTCGTAGCTTGGGAGTTGTGGGGGGAGGGGTTGGTCAAGTGTCATGGGAGGAATGGGACAGAAAGACCCATTTTACTTGGAACATGCTCGTCAGCTGTGTAATTCATTTTTAGGGAATTTGACTCTTCTAGACTAACTCAGGCCCCCGTCCCATACTTTGGCTTGATCTCAAGAAGTTGGGAGAGTTTTTTCTTGTCCTTCACCCCCACGCTCTTCCTCATTCTTCGGATCAGAGTTTCCTGAGCCGAAGTTCTGTGTTAAGCATCCTTTCCCCACCCGCACCCTTGATCTCAGTGGTTCCTGACCTTCAGTCCCCGGATCTTCGTGAACTACAACTCCCGGAAATCCTGGCCAGCTCAGCTAGTGGAGAAGACTTCTGGGAGTTGTAGTCCAAGAACACCCGGGGGACCCAAAGTCAGGAACCACTCTGATACAGTGGTAACAAAACTCATTTTGTTCTCTCTTTGAGGGCTGGGGTCCTCTCAGTGGGGTGGAGGATGGTTAACTTCAACATGAACATCATAAAATGTGTAGGACCAAGTGTGAGTTAATCTGGAAGAGCAACTTCTCCTTTATCCAAGCAACCCAAAAAGAATTGGCTTCTAAGCTGCCATCACAAAGGGGTTTGTTTTGCACATATTTCTTCTTTTTTATAGGAAGAAAACGCACCTCGTGTCTTTCTCTTTTTCACCAGTTCTGTGTAGGATGTGTGTTCTCTTTGTTTCTTCTTTTTTTAAAAAAAAAATCTGTAAAGGTACAAACGCGTGGATTTGTTAGAAAATGTTAATATATATATATATATATTCTGCATTTTTGTATGTAAAAGGACTGTGTTTGAGTTTGTTTTTAAGAAATGCTGCTGTAGGAAATTATCTGTTTATTTTTTAAATGGCAAAAATAGCCTCTTTTTTTAAATTACACAACTGGTGCCAATATTGAGGGTTTTTTGGGCGGGGGGGGCGGGAGAAGAATGTGATTGTGCCTCTTTTTAAAATCAAGAATAAACTCTTAGAAGTGGGACACATGAAAAGTGCACAGCAAATTTTAATGTGTTAAGAGCCAAATGCTTTTTTTTAAAAAGTTGCCTTCGACCCTGCTTCTTTTCTCCGCCACTGACACTAGGAAAGGCCATGACCCCCTCCTTTGTCTTGTTTCTGCGTCGCTGTCTGACACTCCACCGTCTCTTTCCACCACTTCTTTAAAACCCCTTGGTGTATCTAGCTTGTACTGTTTTTTTAAACCTCCCATTCATTCTGTCCCTCCCTCCCCTTTGATTGTAGATAATCAGTAACCAAATTTTTTTAAAAAATAAAAGTTTATTAAATATGATGAACCAGTGGTGGTGGTTTGTCTGTGTCCACTTGGGGAAATATCAAGGGAAAGCCTGGAACACCAAGAGGTCGGCCCCAGTCCTCAGACAGAAGGAAGCTACTGTCTTCTACTTGGTGTGAGGGTTTTGTGCTACCACAGAACTCTTCATGTGTATACAGAGCTATAATCTCTGTTTTGGAACTTCACTCAAACTCGGAGACCAAAACTTTTTGGTCCAGGTTATTGGATCTATGCACTTGTCTGTTTCCTGCAGCTGTGTAGTGTTGAAGGTGATGAAGCGTCCTGCATGAGTTGAAAGCTGGCCCGATTTTTTTTTGTTTGTTTGTTTGAGATTTCAATGGTCTGGCTCCTGCTGCATGCATCTCTAAGCCAAGACAACTCACGCATTGAACAACCAGCTTGCTCTGCACTAAGCCAAGACAACTCACGCATTGAACAATCGGCTTGCTCTGCGGTGGAGGTCTCTGGCTGCAGAGTCGGAGGGTTGGGTGTTCGATTCCCCCATTTGGCCTGCTTGAAAGGGGCTGGACTGGATGATCCATAGCTCTGCAGTTCTAAGACATTCGTTAATAAACGTGTCACCTAGGTAGGCATCACAAAACAACAGCCATTGTGACACAACCACTCAGAATAGCCCGGGAAGACGAAAGTCCCCAGCTTGCTTTTAGAATCTCTGTTATTCCCTGCATTTTGGTTTTTTGTTTAACTTTACTTGATTTTTATTGCAAATATTTTCAAGTTCATCCAGTATAAAGCACATGCTTTGATCCATGCAGAAATAAGAAGCTGTGCTCATGGTTTGCCTTTAAGCGTTCCAGATTGCATAAATGTCCACTCTTCTTGGTACCTACCTGCTCAGCCGCATACCTGCTGCGCTGGTCTCTGAGACCCACTGGACCCCACTTTCAAGGCATTTGGGAGGAGGTAGAACCAAAATCCACAAGTCGGCTCACCGTCTCTCAAGACCAATGAAAATGGCCCAGCAATGTGCAAACTTTTGAGTTGGTCAGATCTCTCTGTCAGGTTAGATAGTGTACCTTTGTTGAGCCTGTGAAAGAGTCTTCTGGGGTTCCCAAGTTTGCCAACTTTTGTGGAGTGGCTCTCTGTTTGTATAGGAGCACATCATTCCTGTAGGGTACCTTTGGTGTTGCTTTTTGCTACAGTCCAATAAATAAAGTACTGTATTGCACCGCCTTGCAACGTAATTTGTTGTGTGTGAAGTAAGGGTGGTAAGCGCTGAATACAGGCAGAGTCCAAAGGGAGAAAATCAAAAATTGTCACAGTCTGCCCAATTGTTGGGCCGGCCGATCTAAGGTAAAGTTCTCTTCTGTTTAGATTTTATTGTTAAACATCCTTTAGATTAGAAAGCCAATATTAGTTTGAATTAGCCAATCCTCCGGTGTTGATAACTCTGTTTGACTTGGCCCTTGCTGTGAAGGAGTCTCCGTGGGTAAATTCTCTGTTTATTCCTGGCAAACAGAATATTTATCCATCGGTATTAAAAAGGTATCGGAGTTGGAAAGTGAAGCCAAAGTTAAAAGGAAACAAAAATGTATAGGGTCCCTTGGTATATTTTTTGCCCACATACCCTTTTTATGGGGTTTTGACATTTTTGTTTACCTACAGTTGTGCGTGTTGCATTCCGGTGACTTGTTAGCCCAATCCAATAAGTCTTCTTGAGGTGTGCAGGATGTTTTCAGGAGTGCTTCACCACCCAGTACTTTTCATTGCTGAATGGGGATTCGAACCCAGGTCTTAAGTCTTAGTTGAACCAGTTCACTATGCTGGGTGCTCAGTACACTCTTATTGCTGCATTAAATCTAGCCATTCAGGCAGTCCACCAAGAGTCATGCTGTTGACACGAAAAGGAGTAAGATACCAATAAATAAAATTAATAAGAACTGTGTTTTCCTTTTCCTGCCGCTTCGCCCTTTCCTTTAGTGTCACGTCTTTCTTTCAATTGTTCTCTCTGTTTTGTCTGACTTTTACAGCTGTGTGTGATGCTACAAGACCTTTTCCAACTGTAGAGTAAAAATGCAAAAATCTATAAGACGTGGGGGGGGAGTGCATACTCATCTCAGAACGAGTTGGCCGTCTTCTCGTTAGCAAGAGGGAGATCGGATACAGAGAAGAGATGGGGGGAAAGTTCCCAGCTGGCCGGGATAAAGTGCTCTGAACCTGCCTGTACTCACATTTTGATTTATAAGCCTCTCGCTGCCTCGTCCACCCTTCAGACAGAGAACTATTTGACACGGCTTCCAAATGTTTTGTCTGAGTTGGTGTGTTTTACAGCTTGCTTACTGTTTAGTTTTTTTTTAAAAGCCTCCTGGCTCTTTGGCTCTTTCTGTTCCTGTTTTGTCTTTGCCACCCTCCGCTCCTGGGTTAGCATGTTCTTAATCATGTTGTGTGTGTCAGTTGGTAAAAAATGTTGGTTTTGTTTTGTGTGTGTGTGTGTGTGTGTGTGTGTCTGTTTTATTTGGAAATATACCGGTTTACAGAAACCGCAGTCAGATTCCAAGTGCTCAGAGATGTAAAGGGGGGGGGATTCTTCCAGTACCCCTGGGGGGGGCTGTCCTGTTTCACAAAACCCTTTGCCTCCCTTTAAGGGCTGGTGATCTGCAGGGAGAGCAATGCTCAAAGGCCGCAGGGACAAAACAGCCCATCATTCCTGACCCCTCTTTTGCTTTTTCCTTTTTTTAATCTGTTTTTTTTTTCTCTTCCATAAACTTGCACCCCCAAAAATTAATAGAATAGAGACATAGGGAGAGTCTCCTGAGACCATCCATCCAGTCCAAAATCCCCCGCAGGGACAAAACAGCCCATCATTCCTGATCCCTCTTTTGTTTTTTTCCTTTTTTTAATCTGTTTTTTTTTCCTCTTCCATAGGGAGAGGCTCCTGAGACTATCCATCCGGTCCAAAATCCCGCCCCCCCCGCTCAAGGCAGGAATCCAAATCAAAGCAGATCGGACCGACGGTGGCCCCATTTGCTCTTAGGGTTGGAGCGCTCGCCACCTCCCCGTGAGAGTCATGGGTTCTGTTGTCGTACTGCTCTCACAGTTAGGAGGTTTTTCCTGATATTCAACGGAAATCTGGCTTCCTTGGAAAAGCACACACACACACACACACCTTGGGACTGTCAGAAACAGACCCTGTTCTGTGTGGTTTCAGAGCTGAGACTTTCCTAGTTCTTGGAGCGGCTGGATGTGTATGGGCGTCATAATTCAGTGGCCTCAAAGCCAAGGATGATGAGACATGTATGTAGTCTCAAGACATCTGGACGTCGGTTCCCTTCAGGTTAGGAGTAGAGAGACTCAGTGTCAACAGTAAGAGATAACACTTGATTTAGCCGGTTGTCTTTTCCCCCTGGAAAGGGAAAATATGGGGAGAAGAAACTAAAAGAGGAAGGATAAATAAGGTTTAGAAGTAATGATGGCCAGGGTGGCTACAATCTTACTTTTGAAGACTGCAGGAATGTAACAAAAGGTACATTTCAGACATCACCAAACAAATTAGGAATGTTAGTGTCATGACCAAGATTTCTTAGCTACTTTCAAAGTTAATTCTGAAGGATCTTTCAGGGCCTGTTTGGAAGTCGTGGGATTGAAATATTCCCGCCCGCCCAGTTTTTACCTTCCGGTCATGAAGCAGAAGTCTCCCATCGGAAGGCAAAAGAAAGCGAGAGACGGAGATAATGAAAAAAGCTGATCAGAAACGTCTTAAATCAATTGTTTATTTTGCGGTGCATTTGAAGTTGTTCTTAAACTGTGTTTATTTGGTGTTTGCTCTGGTGTAGCAATTTATTCCACAGTGTTTTAAATCTTTTTTTTTTAGGGCTTCTTAGCAGCATCTTATTTTAAATACATGCTGGCTCCCCCCGAGGGAGATAAAGATCAGAAATCCTGCGGGCCTCAACCAATGGGGGGATCATGGGTTTCTTAGTCCAGCAAAATTTGAAGGCCGCAGAATCTGATGTAAGGAAAGGACACTATAATAATAATAATATTGGTGAGGATTAACCATGGTGGTGGTGGTGGTGGTGGGATTGTTGTTGTTAATAAATCATACATATGCAAACATTTTAATTTGGACAACAGCGCGCTGTGGCTCTCAGAAATTTGGGAAGCTAAAGAGAAGCCCTGTTTCATTTCCTGTAATGTGAAAACCGCATGTAATCTGTTTTTTGGTGGTGGTAAGTTGTTCAGGCCTTGGGAAATAGCTGGGAAGCCACTCCTGAAGCACAGCGCGATATTTATGTAACAAGGTTTTGTCTGGTTTCTGTGTTCTCACCAGCCCTGGACTTTTGTTTTCAACAAGCCGCCTGTTGACTATTAGCTTTGAACTCTGACATCTGATGTCCTGAGAACAGGGTGTTGCGCTTAAAAAAAAAAACACAAAACTTCTATTATTATTATTTATTTCTGTATTTCTTTGCAGGAAGCCAGTTGGCCCTGATTCTGGTGGCCGCCTTGTTAGCTGCAGAGCCGGGGGAGTTAAAAAAACTTTGCCCGGAACATCTCCCTGGAGACACATTTGACTGGAGTTGTTGAACACAACACGCTCAAGGCAAAAAGTTTTTTTTTTTGTTGATGATGCTTTGGGAGAATGTCCAGCAGCTTTGCCTTTAAAAATAGAACGCAGAACTCTTCTAAAGATAGAGACCCCTTATTTTGGAGATAAAGATAATGGTCTGAAAGGATTTGACCCTGACTTTTCTGCATCTCAGAATGTGTCGGTGGGGAAGGGTTAGGGTTTATTGGGCTGTAGGATAAAGGCCTGCGAAGGGTCAAGAGAGAAGCTAAAAGACTCAAAGGGAAGCTATCTGACACTTAAAGGAGTTTCGGTGGTCCTCCGAGAGGTAGCCAGAGGTAGCGGTGTTAATTAATTTCAGCTACAGTCAAACGAAAGGTCTTTTGTCAAGCCAGCGGGTCTTGATGGCTGGCTCAAGACCAGAATAATGTGTGTTAGAATATGGACAGTGC